TGTCGACGCCGGGGCCGCGCTTGCGGGCAGCGGGGCGGGTTAAAGACCCAAGGGCCGTGGAAGGGATGGGAGCGACAGGATCAACCCAATCATACCCCTAAGCAGAAGGTCATCACAGATCGCTTCCCCAGTCCCCGCCCGGATAAATACGCACCCGCATACATCAACATGCATGCAATCAACAACAATCAACAGGACATCCAATCATCCATGGACTTTCACACCACACATGCATACGACAAGGTCCCGCCACTCGGGGCCTCACACACATCATTCGTGGACAAAGCATGAATGGAGATAAAAGTGGGTCCTCCTTGTACCAAAAACGTCTTCACAAAGCTGGCCCAACTAGGCGCAACCCCACTCCATCAAGACCACCGAGAACCATAGCCACAAGACCCTGATGTTGCCGGCGTCTGATCTCCACCACTGCTCTGTCCTTTCGACTGTTACACCGCGAGTCTACTGCTAAGCCCGACCCGCGTCGTCACTCCGCCCGTCACATGGGCTCGTCAAGCCTGTTCGGCGTTGCGGACCTCGCGCATAGCTCGCGCAGCATTGCAGCCGAGATCAAAGAGGAGGGGAGGAGTGGGTTGCGAGAATTTATAGCGCAGGAGGCGGCGGGAAGCATGGGGTTGTAGATGAAGAGGACAAAGGAAGGGCTGGGGTTCGAGAAGGGTCGATGCCGAGAAGTCGTCTGATCCTGCGTGATTGGGGTGATCGTTCAAGTGGTGCGCGCATTTCGCGCCTTCCACATTGATCCGAGCATCCCAACTACTCGGCCAATCGTTCTCKGCCAAAGGCAAGGCGGGGATCGAGCTTGCATAAAGGAAGACGAAGAGTCCTTGCACGAAGAAAGCGCCCGCAGCAAGAAAGGAAGATGGCGCGGGGATGCGAAGCAAGAGAAAGAGTTTGCGTGGCGCGCGAAAATTTGAAAAAGCAGCCGCGCATGCAAAAACTCGAAATTCCCCATTTCCTTCCCCACTAAGTCCTAACCGTTTCTTGAAATTCGACGCGCCCGCTATTCGGCCACGCGAAACTTATTCCCAGATACCAGTTCAAAGAAAAAGAAAGGCCGTTTCAAGAAAAGCGAAAAACAAAAACGAAAGCAAAAAAAAACCGTCATTCGTATTCGCACTTTGGGGCTTTCGGAGGGTTTATCCTCAAGGGTACGGAAAGCCGCGAAGTACGGGCCTGGGCTCATCACAAACTAACTACACGCTCCGAGAATGAGGGGAACAAAATTGCGTCTGCATTACCAGTGTTAAGGAGCAGCTCGTTTTCTTGTTGACGGCATCATCTGGTTAGTTTTGGCGCGTCTATGCTGTTTCTCGCGTGGTTTCACAGAAGGCTTCAGATGTACAGCAGTCTGCCGCTTCTGTGCATCACACAAACGTTTCCTCCTGAGCTTACGTGCCGCACCACGTTCCTACCTACAACTATGCGATGCTGGTGGGACTAGGCCCCTGCACTGACCAAGTGGGATCGTTTTCCAGCCCGAACCCATTTCGGCCACAAGCCTGAAAAAGAAAAAGAAAAAAAAAGAAAAAAAAGGGGGGGGCCTGCTAGGCCAGGCCACCGCCCGTTTTTTTTTTTTTTTTTTCAATCATCGTTCCGTAGCCATCCTTCTGCCTGATGGGTGGTAAGAGCCCCAGGAGATAGAAGGTGGCATTTGTTCGATGGCTCCGTTCTATTCGTGGGGAGCTGCACCTGCTGGAAACCGGGTCCAGCGTCCCTTACTTAGAGAGATGTTCAGAAAAGGACCACACGAGTTTCATACCCCTGTAACTCCTATATTGGCCCAACAAGCATACAGTGACCTCTTCACCCTAAGGCGCCAGAGCATGCTTTCAAAAAACTAGTCTTATACGCCTGCTATAGTGTGATCCTCATAACTCCCTGCTCAGGGGTCCTAAAGCATCTACTGGTTCAGTWATAGTATCTGAATCAGAAACTGGGATTGCACTTGAAACTGGGACTGGACTTGAAATTTGAATACCAAATTCCCGAATATCCTGGCACTCTCTCAATTTCCTGAATCCTTGACCTTTACTGAAGGCGCGGACCCATCAGCCATTGTTCCAAAATTATGCTGGTTGCTTTGGTCTTCAAAAACCTGACTTTCTGACCCCAGGTAMGGAAGAAGAGATCTCTAGCTGACCTCCTACAATGCGCCCTTCTGGTGCGTCTCCAATCTGACCAGATTAGTGAATGCACRTTGTCCAAAACCAAGTTCATGATTCCTATATCTGAGTAAARCTTTGAACGAAACACTCTGTCATTCCTCAGCTTCCAGATCACATGCATGATGGCTGCCCTACATGCCGTAGCTACATATACCCAGCCTTGGCCCAGGACACCTGCATTTGGGAGGATACCCTCTATTACAAAATTCTCATTCCACTGCACTTGGTCCTCCACATGTTTGTGCCATAGTTTAGTCCACCAGACCCAGATTCKTTTTGAYTCTATGYAGCCCCACCGCAGGTGTGTGGCAGTCTCCTCTTCCTTYTTGCATCTACGGCATTGGGTGTCCATTGGTACTCTATTCGAAGCCAGCCAACTTGCCRTGGGAACARTCYGGTGCGATTGCAGCCAGGCTRAACTGCTCATCTTTGCCGAYGGAATCCGCTTGAGACTACGCCAGAGCCGCCTCAAGGCTGACGAGTTGACATCGGCTCGAGGTTGAGACCTATCCTTGGCTTCCATCTGCCATCTGTTCTTCACCCCTAGCGSGAGGGACCACGATTTGCTTTGAGTTTGATACCCCACCGTGGGAGTGTATTCAAGCAATCCAATTCTCCTAGTTGGTTYCAATAATTCCCAACCCCACTGATTGGGATCTGCTTTCAGCTTGTCTACCGGTGTTGCCCCAAAGGGGCAAGATAACATTTCTAAACCTTTAGAGTCTATCTTAGAACAAACCACGATAGAGGTGACCTGTTGCAACGATACCACCATCTCCCCCAGTTCCTCCAAACGATTAGGCGTCTCCTCCCACRATAGGAAGTAACTGCAGCCTGTCCCTGATCAAGTATGAGAAATACTTTCCAAACTTCTGACGGGGCTTTTTGTCCCCCTTGCACTATCCATTGGCCCTCATAAGCCGAGTAGTGGTTAACAAGGGTTTCCTTCCAGGACTGCGGGATGCTTACCTGAATCCTTTCCRATTTCTCTGGGACTGCCCTGAGATGGTGAAGCTTTGTCCTCATTTCTTCTGCCGATCTCCACTGGTTCAGGTCAGTGTTCCAAAGATCTGCAATCTTAGAAACTCCTCTCTGAATCCAGGCTTTACCAAAGTGACCTGCT